CAACAACGTCCAAGGCTGCTTCTCTTCTCCTTCTTCCCTTGTTAGGTTGCGACATGATAGGAGCATATTCATGCGACTTAATTAGCTTGTTCTCGTGCATTTATGTTGTGTTTACTTAGCTATTTTAGTGTTTAAGGCTACTTTTGTGTATTTTCAGATTATAAGGCCAAAGTGTGCAAGAAGATGCAAATTGGAGTCTTTTGGAGCGAAAGAGGAATGAATGAGTTGAAGACTTGAAGAAACGATGAATTCCTACTCCAACGATGAATTCCTACCAAAACGAGGAATCCTACTCAAACAAGGTTTCCTACTTGATGTAGGAAAGTTAACCCTAGGTTTCCCGTTTTGGTAACCTTTCCTAAACTTAAACATCCGTATTTTCTAGCCACTTTGAAGGCCTTGTAGGCACTTTAGGACACAAAACCAAGGCCCTAGCCCAATTACACAACCTTGCCGTGCCTTAACTCTAATTCCCTTCCCTTGCCGTGCAAGGAGGGGGCACTTTTGTCCAATGTTGTGAAATTAAACCCTATTTCCCTCTCCTAACCTAACCCTAGCCGCGCCCTTTAATTAATCCCTTTTAATTTCTGATTTTATTTCCTAATTCTAGAAGCTTTTAACTTAATTTTAATTAACAAAAAAATAAATTAGGTTTTAAATTTCAGAAAACCCTAGGCCTTACCACCTTAGCCGTACCTTAGGGGGATGATTATATTCCATTCAGCCACAAAACTTATTTGGCCTTTCTAGCCGTGGCCTTCCATTAAGAATGAACCCTAATAAACCAAAAAGGCTTAAAAAAAGCCGCAGCCACCATCCCATTTATTTTATTCCCTTTGCGGTGCATTCCATGATTTTTCATCCTAATATTCACCCATTTTTCCACCATAAGCCGGGGCTCCCATTATTAAAAAAACCGAATACTCCCAAAAATACATTCAGCCGTGGCCCCCCCATTTAATTATCACCCTAGCTATTCCCAAAATCGAGCCACCATCTCCCATTTTTCCACCTTTGGCCGTGTAACCTTTTTACTTCCAAAAACCCGTGCATAACATCACAAAACCATCTCAGCCATTCACCCTAATAACCCTAGTTCTACAACCTTGCAGCCGCACCTAATATTCACCCTAATTCATATTTTTCATCAGCCACCATTCTCTCAAATTCCCCCCCCTAAGCCGTGACCCCCATCTTCCCATTCTCTCCATAATCCGTGCCATCTCCCTTCCATTCCAGCCATCTTCCACATACAATCCAACCTTGCCGTAGCCATCCCCACACTTCCAGCCACCATACAACCCTTCCTCCATCACTCCACCACCTTGCCGCACTACCAAACAACCCTAAACCAATCTATAACCCAGAAATTCACCCAAAATCATCCAAAACCCAATCTGCCGCAGCAAGGAGAAGAGGAAAGAGGAGCTTCGACGCGCACCAATTCACGTGGATTCGTTGGGCGTTCTAGGTGTAATCAATCCTTTGTGCTTTATGTTTAAATTCATTTGTAATTCTCTTTTTGTGAACATGAGAGGCTAAACCCCCCTAGTTAGCTAGGGGGTGATTCGAAACCATGTTTATGCTTGCAATATGAATTGATTACTTTTGGTTGGAATTTCATGAATGGTGAATTCAATTTGTTTAACTGCTTGATCGATAACTTATTTATGTATGTTGATTGAGAGTGCACGCTTAATTTTCATGCATGAATATGACGCTAGAATATTAGTGAATTTCACCTAATAGTTATGAACTTATATTCACAAGTAGTGGAGGTTGCTTATAAACAATCGCGTTAAATGAATTCTTGGCACTAGTTTCATGCTCATCATAGTAACGAATGCCTCGTCAACACTTATAGTTTTCATGATGCTTAATGATCTTTGATTGTATCTATATTGTGCTTTTCACGTAAAGGACTTTTAGGGAATGCTTTGGGTTGTCGCATGCAATCATCCAATTCATTAACTTAAGGAAAACTTGACGGTTAATTTAAGCGGACCTAATTAACCCGGGGTGTTGAGTTTCATAATTCATCGAAAGACCAACCGAAAATCATCTTGTATGCAAGTGTGACATGTGTGGAGAAGAACCTTCTAGCTAGCATTCCATCCATATTTTCATCACATTCATATTTAAATTCTGCCTTTAAATTACAATCGTTGCATTTAGTTTAATTTCGTCAAAACCTCAATCCCCCTTTACTACTTTAGTGTCTAATTTAGTTGAAAGTGTCTTAGTTTGTGTTTATAAGTGTTTTGTATTCTTTGAGTCTTTTGATTTGTTTTAGTGTTTTATTGTTTAGTTTTGCATTCTTTGAGTCTAGTTTAGTGTTTTTAACGTTTGTTTTACGTTTTTGAGTCAGTTTCCAAGTGATTTAGTAATCCCTCCTAATCCCCGGTCTAGAACGATCCCTACTTGCATCTTTGCTACAATTGTCAAAAGAGGGTTTTAATTTGTGTGCTTAATTAGTTAGCATCACGACACAAGGGTATAAGGGTGTGAAATTGGGTTGTGGTGTGTTATGGTTAAGGATTGATGAATGGAAGGGAAGTATGATGGAGGATAGGGTGCGGAATTGTGTATGAAGGGTGATGAAGGCTGCAGATGGTGTTGTGTAAGGATGAATAATGGCTGAATTGTGTATATGAATCAATGGATGTGTGAATGGGTGCGGCACAAGGTTAATATTTTAGGGAAAGGATCATGACTTTAATTAAATGTTTTGGGAAAGAATTGGACCCCAAATCCACAAGGAAAAGGAGAATTAAAGTCAGAATCCTAAGGGAAAAGGAAAGGGATTTGCGGCAAGGAAAATAGGAAAGGGAATGTGCTCCCTTGCACGGCAAGGAAAGGAGAAAGGGCAAGGAGGTGCGGCATCCCTCTTTGGCTAAGATTAAGGCTTCTAGAACTTATATTTAGGTGTCTTAAATTGATTAGGAACCCCTTTTGATAGCTGGAAATTAAGTAGGAAAGATTAGGATTGACTAAGTCAAAATCAGGAAGTTTGACTCATGTTTCCTTCTTTATGGTTGATTCCTTTTCTTCCAAGTCTTGAATTAATTTCTTCCATCTCTTTGGCAGATTCCTAGCCTCCTTTGGTCTTCAATTTCGTCCATCCACCTTGCTCCAAGCATGTGCTAACCATTCTAAGCCCAAAACTGCTCCAAAATGCTCCACATTGCACTTTCTTGCCACTTTAGCCAATTGGCCTTACAAACACACGAAAATAGCTCAAAATACTAAAATAACTAGGAACTAACAAAATAAATGTAAGAAAACAAGCTAACTAAGTCACATAAATATGCTCCTATCATTTCTCTTTGGAATTATGTCAAACTCAGGGGGAGTATCCTATAGATATTTGCTTGATCTTAATGTACTATGTTTCCCTACTATTAGGAGCATTTTTCCCGCTGGATTTTTGCTAACATACTAGGTTTTAATGAGGCACCTACATTGGGCTAGTCATATCCCTAATGACGTTTCGTAGACGTTTCTGTTGACTTTGCATCTCTAACGCATTTTTCCTTAAACTATGGATTTTGTCCCTACTCTGGTTTTTGCCATAGCCTTAGGGTTTTTTAGTAAGACTTACTACTTATGCAAGTTCCTACCTTATTGAGAATAAGCGTTGTTCCTCAAAATCAGTGCCAATAAGTTGACTTCCTCAACTTCTGCATGAAGCTAAATCTACCTTGAGTATTTACACACTCAAGGGGGAGTGTTGTAAACACTCCTAGTTTAAGTGTGATTGTGTAAATACTAGATTAGATTTGATTCTAGTTATCATTTCCTATTGTTTCTTGTATTCCTTGGGGATGAAGGAATATCTTCTCTCCCTTACTACTATAAATAAAGGCACAATGTATGAGGGATAACAACACACACATTCCTCTACAAAACAAACACATCTCTCTCTTCTCCTTGCCTCCAGCCCTCTCTCTCCTTGTCAGATAAAATAGACCACAACAAAATCATGATTTTCCAGGGCCAGAGTAAGGTTGATCCAAATGTAGTTACCTCAGAAGTCTGATCATGGACTAGATAACTTCGTGCAAAGCTGGATTAGACGGAGCAGTGGTGCCACCATCACCCTGTCATAGGCGAAGTTTGAGCAATTCTGCCGAATGACCATGCACACGCGGTTTGATCTAGATATGGACTAAATTAGATCCTTTATAAGTCTTGAAGTTCCTACAATCTAGGGATTGGCATGCACCACAAGTAGTCACACTCCTAAGGGGGTGCAATATTGCAATATTTATTTCTAGATATCCTCTAGGATTTTTTCGGCTTAAAATGAGGATTCTATCCTAAAAAGGTCTTTCTCCCAATAGTGTAAATACACCCATCTAAGGTTCACCTATAGTACTCTAATTCTCTTGCCCACTGCTTGAGTCTAAAACTGCTTACTAACTTGACTATCAGAGAGCCTTTAGCTGGCACACCCTCCGGTCTAAGGCTTGCTTACGATTGTTTATTGTTTTACTGGAAGTCGAGTTTATGCAAGTCATCCACGTACGGTGGTACACAAATTTGGTTCCAACAATTGGTACTTCCATTTCATTGAGAGAAAGAACACAAATTCCCGTCCAAATCCCTCTACCGTGGACAACAAAAGCAAGAAGAACAGTGTGAAGGATCTTCGTTTTGTATCGTTTTGGTGGGACAACCGCTGAAAACAAGTACGTGAATTCTTATCGGATTCCCCATCTCAGAAAGCATCTTCATGATATGTGCAATTCGTGACAAGAAAGTTGCGATTAAAAGATGAACATGACCCCTCTTCCTAAATGCGTGGTGAAGGACAATCATAGGAATAATGAAAGACCTCCAGTAAATTCAAAGCCAAAGACAAATCTGAAGACAAGCCAAAAAGGAACTCTTGTCTGCTTGTGCAATTTACTTGTTAATTCGTTATTATTTGGTCAATGAAATGTTATGAATTGCTTAGTCAAAGCTCTAAAATAAATATAATCCCTTCTCTCGTTTTCTTTTGTAGACGAATCGCGAAAGGAATCACGTTCCAATTTAACCTACAGAAAGACGATCCATCACAGCAGGGACTTCGTTAGACACACGAAGAGTAATAACTGATATAACAGAAATGCCACATGGCATTATTCTAGTGGTTGAGTTTGTTAATATAGTTAGAAGGGTATTATTGTAACTGGGATATATGGCTATATAAGGGATTGTATAGCTATCATTTTCTTATGTTCAGTTGTATACATTTTCTCTAATCAATCAATACAATCTCTCTTGTTATCCCTACCAATTCTTTCTCTTCCTCTATACCAATTTTTCATCTTTTGCAATGTAGTTAATATGGTATCAAAGTCACCAAGGCTAACGCCAAGGATCTTGGTGGTCGATTCCTCTTCTCTCATTACTTTCTATCTTTCTTCATTACTTTCTTTCGTTTCCGCATATTTGATCATTTATGCTTCCGTATTCATAGTTCTTTTTTTTAGGTCTCTGGATTTTTTCTATCAAGGGTTTTCTGTTTAGTTTTGGGGTTTTTCCTCTGGGTTTCAAGATGAAGCCGGTGAGGCCAGTACGGCACCACTGCTTGGCCTTCACATGGAAGACGTTGGCCTTCTCCTCTTCCTTCACCTTCAGAACAACCAACTTCAACACGATGTTCTTCATCTCCCCTTTGATACTGTCAGTCTTGAACACCTTCTCTGGTAGCTCGATTCCGGTGTTGCATCTCTGAGCCAGGAATAGAGAGTAGACTGAAGCTGATTCATAGAGCAGGTAGAGCACCATCATGAATGCAAAGCAACGGCGTTTAGGGCTTCGGCTTTGTCCGTGGAACCCTCACTTTCTCTCTCTAAAACCGTCAAAATTGGCAATGGAGAGAGAGGAGGAGAGCTGAAATTTGTGGGGGTTATGGTTTTCATGAAGATCTGCATAGATTCAGAAATTGGGGATATGAATTTCAAAATAAATTAGCGATTTAAGAGAGATTTGGGGACGATTGTTCATAAATAGGGATTGGTTCTTTCTCCGTTTCTTGCTTTGAATGCCAAAAAATACCCATGTTCTTTCCTTTTGGATTTTCTTGAATCTGATTCTTAGTGTGGGCTAATTCCTTAGAGAATAATCTTTTGATGTCGATATAGCTGCTGAATCCATCAGGTTAGATGGGGTTTCAATGGAAGATAGCACTTTCGAGATCAAAGGATTTATGGGTTTTAATTCCAAGTGCAAGATTTCTGGGTTTAATTAAGAGATTGTGGAAAAGAGTTTCGGTTTTCCGGGGTTTTGAGTTTAGGTTGCTTCTTGGTTCTTGAAAATGGCAACGGGGTGATTGAGCTCTCTCGGTGGTCTACCTGTAGTGGATAATCTTGAGGAAGAGTGTATCAATCTTTTCTTGCATGCTGATGGCCACTCTCATTGGCAAGATCAAGATCTGCAGATTTTGAACTTTATGCAGTCCACATGTTTGAAGAAATGCCTAGCTTAAGTTGTTTTGTGAAGTTAGTGAAGACACATGTATGTCAAGTTGTTTTGTTGTTTTTGGATGAATTGTCGATAAACTACTTTTTCATTCAGTGATTTGATTGGATTACAAGATTTCAAGAAAGTGTCATTATTTCTTGATGGTTAAGAAAGTATCATTCTTTCTTTGATTCCATAGAATTTGTCAAGAGTCTCATTCTCTTGTTGCTTTAGAATTTGTCAAGAGCGTTATTCTCTTGTTGCCTTAGCATTTGTGTCAAGAGTGTCATTCTCTTGCTGCCTAGAAGAATTTAGAAGAATTTATCTGTTTTGATTTCTGGATTGTACTTGTGTCTTTCATCATGGCTTCACCAACGGCTAAAGTTGTAGTCTTGTGTAATAATAATGGAGTGAGCAGAGGTTTTGGTTTGTGTCTCAACTCTTTAGGAAGCTACAAAAGCTCTAAGTAATCTTAGTCTCATAGTTCCAGATTAGTCTCAAATACCTGGCTAGTTCAAATTTCACTTGGATACTCCAAGTTTAGTTTGAGAGGGGAGTAATAACTGATATAACAGAAATGCCACATGGCATTATTCTCGTGGTTGAGTTTGTTAATATAGTAAAAAGGATATTATTGTAATTAGGATATATGGCTATATAAAGAATTATATAGCTATCATTTCTTTGAGTTCAGTTGTATACATCTTCTCTAATCAATCAATATAATATCTCTTGTTTCTCTCTACCAATTCTTTTTCTTCTTCTGTACCAATTCTTTATCTTTTGCAATGTAGTTAATAAAGAGAAGGCAAGGACTTCGTTAGAAACGCGAATCCGAGACGCCAACTTGTGTCGAATCAATGTTCGAGACCTGTCATTCCATTCAACTCTATTTGTAGCAGCAACCTAATCCTCTTGTCAAACTGTACAACTCCGTTTGCCACCAACGAACCTTCAACACCAATCTGGCCGCCTTAATCGTACCAGACCCGCGTTGACGATCCAATCCGCTTCATATGGGCAATTAGCAACGCCTTCGTAGATTTCAAAGAAGAATCCTTCTCAGGGACGGAAAAGAAGTTGCCTGCGAAAAGGAGGTCCCTCGGCCATATGGACCTTTGATTAAGAAAAAGAAGACCATCAATTTTTGCATGTGATGATACAGTGCAACGGGGCCCTGTGAAAGATGCTTGTGATTTGTATCCAGAGGGTAGTCCAAATTAGTTTCACCAGAAGACAAAAGAATAAGAAGGAAAGGCTTCCATCAAATGGGTAGAGAAGGTGGTGCTGTGTGCAAAAAAAGGAGCCCTCCTACATGGACCATGACTTTTTTGCTCACTGTAACCAAAGAAAGCGAAGGAAACATCTCCAAACTCCTTTCTCACGTGGTCACCAAAAGATGGCCCCAAATTGTGTAAATGTTAGGCTATGACAAATCAAAGTCAACATGACAATAACGCCTCCATCAGTCACTCTGGTGGAGCCAGGAATTGGCGAAGAAATTTACTAGGGGCAAGCCACCCCTAAAAAAGCTTAAGTTCAACTCTGGAACTATGTCTCAAGTTCTATCAGAGTTCCAAACTCATATACGAACCATGATTGTTCTACAAATCCAGCATAACGATCATGCCTCAACACGAAGAATCACGAAAAGGGAAGCGTTCCTTTATCATCATTTTTATTTTTCAGTTATCATCGCTTAGCTATTTTGGGTTTGAACCATGGTTAATTTAATTATTGGTGTACTCTTGTTCACGACTCTGATGCGAACTAAATAAGCACACAAATTAAAACCCTCTTTTGACAATTGTAGTAAAGATGCAAGTACGGATCGTTCTAAATCGGGGATTAGGAAGGATTGCTAAATCACTTGGAAACTGACTCAAAAACGTAAAACAAAGGTTAAAACACTAAACTAGACTCAAAGAATGCAAAACTAAACAATAAAAACACTAAAACAAACCAAAAGACTCAAAACAGCCTTAAAAACACTTTATGGGCAGTTTTGAACACTTTTACTACTTTGGACGAATTTGGGTAATAAATTGATTCAAAACACTTAGAAACACAAACTAAGACACTTTCTAACTAAATTGGACACTAAAGTAAAGGGGGATTGAATTTTTGACGAAATTAAATAAAATGCACAGATTGTAATTAAGGGCAAATTGTAAAGATGAATTTGATGAAAATATGGATGGAATGCTAACTAGAAGGTTTTTCTCCACACATGTCACACTTGCATACAAGATGATTTTCAGTTGGTCTTTCGATGAATTATGAAACTCAACACCCCGGGTTAATTAGGTCCGCTTAAATTAACCTTCAGATTTCCCTAGAATCATTGAATTGGATGAATATGCATCGCAAACAAATTATTCCTAACAAGTTCTTTATATGAACAGCATGATAAAGATACAAGTTAGAATCATTACGTTCTTTGGAAATCATAAGTGTTGACGAAGCATTCGTTACTATGATGAGCATGAAACTAGTGCCAAGAATTCATTTAACGCGATTGTTTATAAGCAACATCCACTACTTGTGAATATAAGTTCATAACTATTAGGTGAAATTCACTTATATTCTAGCGTCATATTCATGCATGAAAATTAAGCGTGCACTCTCAATAAACATACACAAATAAGTTATCAATCAAGCAGTTAAACAAATTGAATCCACAATTCATGAAATTCTAACCAAAGGTAATCAGTTCATATTACAAGCATAAACATAGTTTCGAATCACCCCCTAGCTAACTAGGGATTTAGCCTCTCATGTTCACAAAAAGAGAAATAAAATTGAATTTAAACATAAAGATTAAAAGATTGATTACACCTAGAACGCCCAATGAATCCACTTGAATTTCTGCGCGTCTAAGCTCCTCTTTCTTCTTCTCCTTGCTGCGGCAGAGATGGTGTGGGTGGTTTTTGGATGATTTTCTAGTTTAGGGATAGGTTTATGGTGATATGGTGGTGCGGCAAGGGGTTGTGGAAGGTGTATGAAGGTTGGATGGTGGCTGGAATGGTGGGGGAAGGTTGCGGCAAGGTTGGATGGTGGCTGGAATTGATGGAGAAGCTACGGTAAAGGGAGAAGATGAATGGGTGGCTGCGGCTTAGGTGGGATCATTAGGTTTTGGTGGCTGAATGATATGAATGATAAGTGAATGAGAGAAAAGAGAGCTAGGGTGAATATTAGGTGCGGCTGAGATGAATTTTGGATGAATGAAAGGCTACGGATTCAATGGAGAGTATGGAAGGGTGCGGCTAGGGTTAGGAATATGTATGATTTCAAAAAACAAACCCTAGCTTATTAAAATTAAATCAAAGGCTTCTAGAAAAAAGAAAATAAAATCAGAAATATAAAGGTGCGACTAGGATTGAATTTGGGAGAGAAATAGGTTTAATTCAGAAATAAAAGGGCAAGGTGCGGCTAGGGTTTAGAAGCATGTGTTTTAAGTGCAAACCTAGGACAAAATTGTCCTCCCTTGCACGGCAAGGGAAGGGGATTAGGGTTAATGCACGGCAAGGTTGTGTAAGTGGGCTTAGGGCCTTCGTTTTGTGTCCTAAAGTGCCTACAAGGCCTTCAAAGTGGCTAGAAAATACGGACGTTTAAGATTAGGAAAGGTTACCAAAACGGGAAACCTAGGGTTAACTTTCCTACTTCAAGTAGGAATCTTTGTTTGAGTAGGAACCCTCATTTTGGTAGGAATTCATCGTTTCTTCAAGTCTTCAACTCATTCATTCCTCTTTTGCTCCAAAAGGCTCCAATTTGCATCTTCTTGCACACTTTGGCCTTATAATCTGAAAATACACAAAAATGACTTTAAACACTAAAATAACTAAGGAAACACAACATAAATGCATGAGAACAAGCTAATTAAGTCGCATGAATATGCTCCTATCAGACTCATCTCGTGATTCCAAGCAAGGGCAGGTTTGGTTTCGTACAGACCAACGCCACATTACAAAATCGACTTGTAGATTTCTCATTTGAAACCTACACACAACTCAGCTTGAGTCTACCAACGCTCTGACTGGGGTAAGTGTTCGTGTAAAGCTCCACGGGCAATGTTATCGTGCCTGAAACCCATTATGCGCACTTGAAAAATTTTCAACGAAAAACCAAATTTCTAGATGGATTTTGAAACTAGGCTAGTTGGAGACGAAAGCTAAGATGCCCAAGATCGCTGTATCAAAGTTCCAGAATTTTGTACAAAGCCAACATTTCCAGTTTCACGCACGAAGACAGTCAAAGGTGCATTCCCGTTAGAACTACGCAACTAGGGGAAAACAAAGATTTCAAGGCCTTCCCAATTTTTCCCATGACATGACATGCCACATATTCTTGGAAAGATAAGAAGTTGAGCTACAATATTCTTATTTTTCCAGAATTTTCTAGAAGACTGAACGACCTCAAATCTGGCACATAAAGCAGTTGAACAGCAAGCCAATTCATGTGGCATATGGCAGTAACATTACCAATATCCCAGATTAAACTGTACATGCTCAGTGCAAACTGGGTTTCATGCTATATATCATCACGAAGGTACATAAGTTAGCTTTCGGTAGAATTTTGCAGAATTCAATTTCGAGTTACATGGAAGACATTATTGTTGTTTTACCAGTCATAGTGCAGGCTGGAAGTTTCTATGGGATTCTTTAAGTTCTTTTTCTAAACTCATATCAAACGACATACAACGTGCCGCAATGACCTATGACTTCAAGATGCACACAATCATGATCAAGTTAACGGTTAACCTAAGGGTTTTAACCAATTCAAGTCTAATCCAACGAGCTAAAATCGAAGGTCATCCACAAAGCATTGCGTGACAACTCCACATTTGTCCTCCTCTACTACTAGCGTGTAACGGAAAATCACAGGGTGGAATAAGGAGAAAATTTTCATGAATTCGATAATTCCTACACCACAAGGTGCTTATGAATTCGTATTCCTATGCATGAACAAGGCCCCTCCGATGGGTGAACGACCTTGGTCAAAACAATGGTAGCGCTCCAAAATAAGTACTTATGATTATTTTATTATTATATACATGATTAATGCATGCCCAGGACAAAAGATCCAAAGCTGAGAATGATCTTTTCAGATCCTCGTGCACCATTGTTTGTTCTTTCTTACATCATTCAATGCAGTACATGGAATACCCTAAATTCTAGAATTATAAACAACCTCGAAACTTCACATGATCGCAAGTCTAAAAATTCAAAGTAGTCAGAGGAGTCTCTTTTAGCCCATCCCGTATTCTTCTATTAGTAGTTTGAGAGACTCGAGCCGTAATAAGTGCGATTACGATTCGGCATAAACATAGTCACGTTTGCTCCATATGCCCGAAGAGACTTGACCTCTTTTCTTTTTTAAGATGGTTTGCTTCCTCGATTCGTTTCGTTCTTCTCCTACTCTAGGGAGTAAACGCGACTATGGGCACGGGCACATAGCGCCCTAACCCGGTAGTCCAATGCACCATTTGGCCTCCTGAAAGATTATACAGCTAGAAAGGTTGTAGGTTATAACATTCAAACCTGGGCTCTACACCATTAGAGGGAATATTCGAAACGGTGATCCGGAAATCGTCCGAATATGGCTCTAAACTCCGACCCTGAGTACGACTATTTGATAGGAGCATATTTAGGCGACTTAGTTAGCTTGTTTTTGTACATTTATGTTGTTACTTCATAGTTATTTTAGTAGTTTAAGCTATTTTCGTGTGTTTATAGGTTCATATGGCTAA